TGTTAACAGCACACAGATTAATAAAGAAGAAGGAAATCCAGCAGTAGGAGAAAGAAGCTCAATGTCAATAGATTTAATGTAGCAGTACTGGTAAGGGTCTTTAACAATGAATTAGGTCGATCTTATAATGTCTTTCCTGGATTCCTAAGGAGGAAAAGAGACACATTCCCATCCCTCATTGAGAGCTACTTGCATACAGAGCCATTTTCTTTTGAGAACTGTCTTGGCCTAGTCTGAGTGTTTCCCTTATATTCAAGGGGACCATAACCACCAGGTTGATGATAGAATTGTTTAAGAACATTAATAAGAATAATGTTCTGTTACTACAATTTGGACTGAGGTAGTATGGACAGATGAAACAACAGGGAAATTATATGAAACTATTTAAACAGATCCAAGAATTAAGGGTTGAAACAGTATGTTTTTCTATCATCTTTCCTTCTTCTTTGAGATGTTTTCACATCTAAAGAAGAGAGAAACATCCAATAAAGGGAACATTCTCCTTTTCCTTTTCCTTTTAGATGTCAAGAAGATACAAAGGTTTGGAACAGGTAAAGGCAGATGATCAAAGAAACAGATGATAAAAGACATCATTTCTCTTGTGAATTTCACTGAAGTTTCTTTTCATGTGTCTTCTATTCCACCATTTTATGGTACTTATTTATTCTGATAGGGTAATACAGTTCTCAAATTGTTTTGATATTTACAAATTGATTTACATGATGTGTATGCTGTGTTCCTACAATATTTAATGCTATACATTGCATATCTCAATATAAACTGCTTAGCAGTGAACACATACTAGTTAAACTGAATGCTACCATTTTGTACCTCAAATTCCCTACAGGCTTTTTCATATTATTTCCTTCTTTCCTTCTTTCCTCCTTTCCTTCCTCCCTCCCTCCCTCCTTCCCTTTCTCTTTCTTTCTCTCTCTCTCTTTCTTTCTTTCTTACTTACTTTCTTTCTTTGTTTCCTTCTCTTCTTTCCTTCTCCCTCCTCTTTTTTCTTCCTTCCTTTCTTCTTCTCTTGTTGCCTCTCCTTTCTTTTTTGCTTTCTTTCCTTTTTTCTTTCCTTATTTCCTTCTTTGCTTTCTCTCCTTTCTCTCTCTTTCTTTCCCTCATTCTGTCACTTTCTCTCTATTCTTCTCTTCTTTCTGTCTGTCTTTATTTCTCATTTTTTCTCTTTTTCTGTCTTTCTGTTCCCCCTCCTTTCTTTTTGGAGCTTGAACTCAAGTCCTGGGTGCTATCATTGAGAGTTTTGCTCAAGTCTAGCACTTTGCCACTTGAAGCACAGCTACACTTTTGGTTTTTTTGGTAGATAATTGGAAATAACTCTCAAGGAATTTCTTCCCCAGGTTGACTATGATTAGTAATCTTCACATCTAAGTCTCCAGAGTAGCTAAGATAACAAGCATGAGCTACCAGTTTCTGGTTCAGTACCATTTTTTCATAAAAAAGATCAAAATAAACCTAGAAATAATATTATTCTATTAAACAATTTGTTTAATTATGCATCTTTAAATAATAATTAATGTTAAAGATCTCCTTATTAACATCTACTGACATAGAAAGGAGAATAAATTGACCACCAGAGAATTGGTCATGTATTGGCAAAACAGTTATTATGTTGTGAGAATTGAGTTGCCCAATATCCACTCCAGAACATAATGATGCTCCAGGATGCTTTTGAATTCATAGTTGAATTTCCAGTTTCATCAGGGAGTTATTCCCCTAGGGTGAATCAAAAATTAAAAGACCAGCAATATAACCACGTTGATTTGTGTTGCTTTAAAAAAAATGAGTGAATTCTCATTACCAGAGGTAAGATTTTGGATTTTGTTATTGAATCTAAATTCTTGTTTTTACCATTTGAGAAAGCTTTACTCCCTAAGTTATTCTGAAGTCATAGTACAGAGAGTGAGCAGAGGTACTCAAGCAAGCAGAAAATGAGAGATTTTGGTTGACTTCTTTTGCTCATATCATCTGTTTTGTATAGATAAATTGTCATCCATTTTCAGAAATCTTATTTACTCAATTCTAGAATAGGAACTCACATGATCACCTCATACTGTCCTAACTTGGCACTCTGCCAAAATGCTCTCTTTGACTTGCTCAAAAATTTAAATAGAAGATTTGAAATATGATGATGTATTTTTTGCAGAAATATTTACAATATTTATATATGAATGTTGAGAGTCAAATGAGAACTTTAAATGAAACTTTTGTATACACACTCAAAAAATTGGAAAAGAAAAACCTTGAAAGGAAATGAAAACTTTGGAAATGTAAAACCATGAAATAAAATGAAAAATTTGGAAATGAAGATTGAACATTGCTAAATGTAGTTTGAAATAACTTTATTTCATGCAATTTGACTAGTTATCATAAGCTTTTATCATAGTTATTGAGTATGAATTTGAAAG